ATCACGTATTCTTCTTAATGTATTTTGTTAAATCTTTTACAAAGAAACCATTGCAAAAAAGCGCGACATAAATCTACATGTTTCGTGATAACTGGTAATAATAACTAGATATCTTCGTTTTCTTTTAAATGTTTCACAAACAAATAATTAATTAATTAACCGCTAGTTCCAAAACATTAAAATGCTGAAATGTCATTTCCTTTTTTAAAACAAGGCAATCGCATGGAATTTTCTTATTTTGTAGAGACATAAATTAAACTGATTATAAATATAAGGAACAGCTTCTTAGGCATTATTGTTAAAGTGCCTTATTGAGATTTCAGATAGACTATAACTCATTTAAATAGTTTTTTGATATCGACGCAATCCAGAAAATCGAAATTATATTTTGCTTGAAAGAATAACAAAGATATGAGCATTTTGTATTGCTGACAATTTCTTTCCAGTTTTAAATCATATTAAGCATTTTCAAATGACATTGTTGTCGTTCTGCTATCAAACACAAAATAAAGCTCATGATCAAAAATCTGTAAGAATATCAAATCCTTTTATACATACAATAAAATATTTTGTCAGACTGTATTCATTTCCTAGATGCATATCTATAGCAATTTTATATGTCCCAGGAAAGACAATATGTCAAGCAGTATAAATACAGAAGTTCATGACGAATGCAAAATTAAATATTAAATACACTTTGATAAATGTTGCAATATAAATTTTTGATCATTGACAATTTCAGACACTATGATAAAATCAATGATATCAAATATCGATAGTTCACGATTGATTCATTTTTGTTTGAAGTTGAAAAAAAATTGTTTTCCTTTTTTCCAATCAATGATGTTTTATTCATGCATGTAAAACATCAATTTAGTCAGCAGCAGGGAATTAAAAAACATGGTCATAATCTAAAACCGATTTTTATTTACTTTTTTGTTTATCCGACAAACATGTACAGACATATATTTTTTTCAATTTTCTAAATGTTGTTGAATCATTCCATTTTAGGTCCACAACTAGCTGACTTTTAGACGCATATTTGATAACTTGTTCTGTAACACAAACATCTGAACAATCAAAAAAAATCTGGGTTTTATGAATATGATCATTTGTATGGCCTTAAATGTATCGCATCATTTTTTGTGTTCATTATTTTTTAACTTTATTCATATTTTCTTACTTCTTTCTTTCATACATATCACTTCCCTGGATGAACTGCTAACAATATTTGAACCTGAAAAGCATACCAATTTGCCGTTGTCTCTATTTATACCAATTAACAAGCCTTTGTCAATATCATATGACCAGAGGGCGCTGATTGTTGTTAGATGATAAGCTTTAACAACGCTAAACTTGTTATAACAACATATTTTGTTTCAGCATCGAATTAATTTCGTATGTATTGATTATTGAAAGCTTATTTCACATCAAATCGGATGAGGATAGATTGAAGGCGTCATCTTCCCAGTGATGATAGGATTACAAACAAAACTCGTTATATCAGATCTCAAACTGAAATAGATATCTGTTACATATATCTTTGTAAAATTTCATGTTTGTAACGTCTTGTTTCATTGGACAAACGTGACTGTCATAATATCTTTATTTATATCTCATTAATTATCTAATTTTCATATTTTTACCGAAGAAGGTACTTAATTAATTAATTATGTGTTTTATCCCGTTTCCCCAACTTTGTGGTGTTGTTTTTTTTCTTTTATGTTAATGTTATTGTTGTTGTTGCTTTTGTTTCTATTGTTGCTGCTGATGATTATGACGATTTTAGTGTTTGTTTTTCATTGTTGTTTATTGTTTTGTTTCGGTTTATTTATTTATTATTTTTTATAGATCGATCGATCGATCGATTGATTGATTTGCTGAAAGGTATAAAAGGATTTTTGAAATGACGGGACTTGAATTTTTTTAATTCGGTGCAGATCTAGACCATTAACTTGTGTACAATATTACAGATTAATTGCTTACTTTGTTATTTCAGGACAGTTTCGTGAAAAATGAACCTAAATTCAAATCGGGCTAGAATAGCAAAATATACGAGTTTTAATTCATTTCTTGGTATATTTCTTAGTTACTTTTTGCATATCTTTGTTCGCCCGCTGATCTATGTCAGAAATTTAAAATTTATGTTTTACGCTTTGGACCTCAGAAAAGTTCGTTTAAATGTTTAGTTTAGTTTCTGCCACATTCTGCAATATCTCAAATATTATTGACGATTATATAGTTATTGTATGTCGAATTACTCCTTTAAGACGTTCATAAATCTTAAGACAGTACTGTTCAAGTTGTGTCTCTTTCTCCGATATCTCAAAAACAATAATGCCGGCTCGCCACGGCGAGCCGGTATTACGGTAGGATTTTACTGAGAAACAACCTAAAACTCGGAAGCTATCCAAAAATTTAATCGAAGCTTGGCTTCCAGCTTTCTACAAAATTTATCTATCAGGGCTAGGATCCAAAATTATTTAGCCAATCAAATTTAATCTTACATAGCGTCAAAAAACCTTCAATTTTCACGCCATTTTTAAAAATCAGCAAGTATTGTTTTGAGCGCAAAGATATAATGATGATTAAAATGTTTGTCTGTATGAATTCTTTTCAATAAATCATATTTACACTGACTTCTGATTAAGCGATTTCACCTGTTTTCTCTGTAGTAAGTTTTCATTTGGTTAATTAACATAAGTGTACATCTGGTTCTGTGCATTTTTTATTTTTCCTTTTTTTCCGGTCATTTTATCCTTTCCGGTATTTAGTGTATGTATTTACTGGCCGGGATCCGGGACGCCCGGGATCCGGGATCGTATAAGATATGGAGGAAAATCCTAATGAACTTTATTTGTGTTGATTGTTGTCGTAATGAAAGGCCATTAAACGTTAATTTTTTTATTGTATATAATGAACGTTAAATTAATTTAACTTAGAATATAGATATATTTAGAGCTATTTATTAACAAACTTAAAATGCGGAAATCATAATAGTTATAATTATATGCCTAATTAATTGGAAAAATCAAAGACTATTTTCTTGAATTGGTCAAATCCCGGGATCCCTGTATGTTTTAAAACGATCCCAGCTTTTCTGAAAACTATATACTTGAACTTGCCAATCCGTGAGATCTATTTACATTTTAATACGATCCCGGCTTTTCTGAAAATTATATTCTTGAACTGGTCAATTCCCGGGATCCCTATATGTTTTAATAGGATCCCGGCTTATCTTAAAAACATCTTCTTAGACTGGTCAATTTCTGGGATCCCTATATTTTTTAATAGGATCCCGGCTTTTCTGGCTGAATTGATTGACAACTTGTGTTTACTTTAGGACTTGTGCCTCTCATTCCAATACTAAATAACATACATGTATTACAACTTAATTTTGTATAAAGAGACATCTTTATGAAATCTACCTATCTAACATTTTGTGGTCAAGGTCAACAGGCCATATAGTAAATGTGCATAGACATAGGTTCTTCAATCTGTTTACATGCACCTTCATATATACTCATACTCATACTCATCTTGGTTAAACTGAGAGAACTTTATATGTCACTTTCAGTCAATGAGTTTAAGATTTTGAATTTACTGGCCCGAATTCCAGTTTTGAATTTATTCTACTAAATAATTAACAAAATTTTCTTAAATTTACACTGGCCTGAACTTATATACACTGGCCATCGGGCACCGGGCCAGTGTTGACTTCACTTTTATTTTGTTGTTCGCTGAAGTCTCTTCAGCTAACAGAACTGTCATTTTTACATTTAAACACACCCCTTGAAAAAAATTACGAAGCGAGTCGCTACTAGCTTTTTTAAAAGCTAACCTTGTATTGACTATACGTCAAATTATCTTTGCATATTTAAAGTGAGACCGCCTACGATGTATGACACGATTCAACTCTAGGTAAATATAAACATATAAAAGTTATCTTTTAAATAAGATGTGCAGTAACTGTTTGATTTCTTTATAATGATAAAATCAGTATTGTTTTTTTACGGAAACATACCGGTTTTCAAATCGGTCATTGACTGCTAACATACAACATGCGATATTTCAAAAAAAGAATTTAAAAGAAGAAGTACTGTAGTAGTCCAACTAATTGTACTACGCGTTGAAATATTGTGCTATTTTGTTTAAGAGCAATGTCTCCCTTTTGTATCAGCAGAACCCAGGACAAAATATCTCAGAATCTAGCTTTTGAACGTCAAAAACTTTGGGGGGGGGGGGGGGGGGCCCCTTTAAGTTACAAAAAAAAAGAAGGGAAAAATCCCTAAATATTTTTGGGAGTAAACCCGGTTACGATCTGCCATTTTTTGTTTTTTCAAAAGGTGGGGGAAACAAAAAGGGAAATTAAAACGAAATTTATTGTTTTGAAAGGAAATGGTTGGTTGCGATTCGGTCACTACTTCGAAACACAGTTCAGAAAGGCCGAAATAAAACTCTTCTATTAAAAAAAAATATTACGGTTTCAACAGAAACATTAAAGCATCCTATGCTCATGTTTTCTTTATTCAGTTACCAGCAAATAAAATACCACTTTTTTCTCTGTTTTATCACAGCGATATCAGTTGTGTTCGTGTAATAATTTGGTTAGCTTGTCAATTTAATCATCAGTGTTCGGATTTACTGCTAGACATCAGCCAACATTTCCTTTCCATTATATGATTATATAATTACGCCATTTCAGCTCTTCCGTTTCACTCCCAGCAGCAGATTTACTGTTAAAGTTCATTCTGAGTAAAAATTTAACAAGACATTTTCTCCTCCGTTGTTATTATTCCCTTTTTTGAATGAGAACAGTAATTAAATCAGCACGGGTTTAAATCAAGAGAAGAAAAAGTTGACAGCTGTTATAATTATTACTTTATTTTAGTTTGCTTTAAGCCATCCTATAGTTTGCTTTTTCAATTTGGCTGTGAACGGAAAATTCATTATAGAAGTATTGATTAGTTTTCACTGTTACCAGTTTTATATGATAAAGTGATATTAGACATCAGCGTATCTGTGTGCGCAGGCAAAGATAGCTTTACAGCGCGGCGAGTCATTGAAGTTGCTCGCGCTGCTAGCGAAAGGAAACTACTTGCTGCAATTTACAGGCTATTTACAGTTTAAATTACGTCTGCTTGTACATGCCTTAAATTGTGTATTCACAAATTACACATTAAATGAATTATCTGGAATTGATAACGGGATTGATCTGAAAAGTCGGTATGTATTTTTTGTATATTTAGAGTATAACAAAACAATAACTCGTGTGAATTATAGCGTAGAAATTAAATTGTTCAAGCGTAGAAGAGACAGATGCTCTCTGTAATGATAGGGAAAATAGATAAAATATTGATTCTCATATAAACAATAAGCTATTTATTTTAGTGAAACAGAAATTTGTCTGGTTGCGTGAGCTTTCAATGCCGATATTTTTATGTTAAAATCGTTACTGGTTGTTTCTGTATTACTTTTGTATATGACTTTCAACTACATGTATTAGTAACTTAAATATATCAAATCAGGGTCTTTCAAATAGAAATGTGTGTGTGTGTTTTTCTGTTCTTCTTATTCTAAAAAGTAAACATATTAACTGAATCAACTACTTTCAATTGCAAAAGGGTTGTAAATGTTTGTTTAATGAACAAGAAGCATACGTTACGTATCTTTCCAAATAAGGAATACGTCGTTCTTGAAGAGGGTTTAATAAGATTGAGAAAAGAACTTGATAAAACTACATATCTGAAGATATTCCTAATATATAATTAATTATGTTTACACCACATATACGTATGTTAGATTGTATGGTATTGTAATAATGGAAAGGAGAATGCCGATAGACATGTTGTCTCTGCTATGAAGTCATATGTATTTAAACATATATATTTCCCGAATATACATATAGATACCATTGCCCTGACACTAGTTCTCAACCAATACATTAACAATATACGATTTATTAATAACATACAAGTAAAATAATATAGTAAAAGAAACGGATTAGAACGGAAAACATAGTCACCTTGCGTTATCACTGGAAAAGATACTATAAGTGAAGTGAAACAAATATAGCAAAAGACTTCTTAAGGTGAACATATAGAGCGCTAGTGCATTGCGTTGTCTAATAAACATTTTGTATTTCATTAATAGAATATGAAATGTAAATGTGAAAGATTTCTTTTGTTGCTCGTAAATGAAAATAAAGTATAATTAATTTACTTAGAAAATAAACAAGAACATTTGTGAGTTTAATGACATCTTTACACGTCATTTTAATAAACATCCAGTGACCGGTTTTATTAATTCCGGAAAAGTTAAGGACGGATACGGTAATTAAACAATTCCTTAATATGTTATCTCCCCTGAGTACTCGACTTTGCAGACGATTGCAGTATGCCTGCATTTTATGAATTCTTTAAATAAAAGTCGTGTACACATTCATTCTGAAAAGAAACTTGGTAGGTAATGAAATAAACTTATCTATAATGTTCTAGTAAGATCTACTATCATTTTCTCTGAACGTTCGTAAATGGATGGCAAAACATGCATGACATTGCATCACCTGGTCATTGGCCTGGCAATGCCTTGACCCCTCTCAAGATGTCGATGGAACTTGTATACATGTATATAAGAAACAAAAAACAAAATGGAACGAACGTTATAAGACGCTGTGGTCTATTCCAGGATATAGCCAATTGTTCATAACATTTGATCATTTAGAAATTTATTGTTTTATGCATATCAGTAACACATCATTATTTTAAAGAAATTCTTGAGAGAAAGCAGTCTATTTTTCCTATATAAGGAAAAAAGCCCTGCAGAAGGAGTAAGCAAAACAAGTGGCACTGACTCGAAGATTTAGTCTATTATATTATGTTGTAAAAACAATGATAATTTCATTTTTAAGCAAAATTATAATCATGCTTTATTAATAAATTGTAGGATAACATGTTAATTATTAAAAGAATAGAAATTTATCATTTATTTGTCCAACCCTACATACATTGATATAAAATTATAAAGCAAGTAATCCATAATAGTTTGTTTAAATAGTTTAAATCATAGAAAATTTTCATTTGAAATTCTTCTGCCAAAGAAATTTACAAAAAAAAATAAAAAAATATTAAATATTCATGAAGAATCAGGGTGCTTATTTTACTGTTTCCATCTTCAAATATTTCCTGTTTCCTCAAATATGATTAGTAATTACTCTCAAATGTTTAAAGTGACAAAAGAAGAATCAGTTACAAAAGACAATAGAGAATTTTAACTGTAATTTAGAATTATAAATTACTGATACAACAAAAACAGGGACAAAAAGAGTGGAAGACAATGGAAACTTGTTTTATTCTTAAATGAATGTTTTCTCTGTGTTGCTTGACAAGATGTCTAGTGAGTAGTATCTTGAATGTAAGAATCAAAGAATAAAAAAAGGCCAGAGCTTTTTGTTTTCTGTATAACATGGGCCTTATAAAAGACCCTATCAGTTAAAAGATGTGGGTTGTATCATGTAAATTGACATTCGCAATTGAGCTGATTGCGCATTTCTTCTTTCAAAAATGTCAGGAAAATGAGTTCTTCACAATTTGCTTTGTCTTTCATAATTAAAAAAACAAAACAACAAAAAGCAACCATTAGGCTAATTTAAGTCACATAGTGAAAGCACAACCAAAATTTATAATGTGATATTTATCAAACCTAATTGTGTGGTTAAAATCTGTTATTTTTATATTTTTTGCTAAAATTTGTTGGCATTTGGAATCTTTTATTAACATATTACATATGGTTTTATGCCAGTACTGTCAGATCTGTTTAAAATTGAAATGAAAATTTGCAGGTTTCATTATTTTAAGCTTTAAAGAGGCCTTAAAATATACAACAACAAAAAAGAAACAACCAAATTTTGTTATTTATTTTCTGCTTGAAGGAAACAAACAATAACTTAACCTTTTATGAACACATTTTGCAAGTTTTTGTTAACTTAAAACTACCAAGTTTAGTATTATGATATACACATTGATTACATCCAGTGACTTTTCTAACTAAATTTGCCCATTGCCAAATAAATTTAAAAAAATATAACCATCAACTTGAATAAACTTCAAAATTATCATGAAAAGTCACCTAATATAGAAGTTTACAATAGGCGTTACATTCGTTACAATCGGCAACGGTTGCATGCTGATCTTCCATCTGACTTTTGGGTTAATCACCAAAACTATTGGGGAAATTTTTTTTCTCAAACATCAAATTTTTTTAGTAAAATTAAAATTTATTTTTAAACCCTTTGGGTTCTACTTTTTAAAAGAAATTTTCTAGCATAGATGGCCTTTGGTGGCGTTAAATATTCATGGATGCATCACATGATTTAATTTGCTATAGATTTATGGGAGATTTTTTGTGAAAAATTTAAATTAAATTTTGCCCTTTTAGGATTTTGGCTGCCCATGGGGTTTTATTACTTTTTTTATTTAAACAGACATTTATTTTATACAGGGATGGGGGGAATTTTGCAAAAATAATAATTTTGTTTAAAGAATTTTTCCCTTTCAGGCTTTACAGGTTCCTTTCATTAATCATATAATGGTAGCATGTATATAATATTGACTTATTTAGATACAACTGGTTATCAATTGCATTAAAACTTGTGGGTGACTTGAGATATATTGAAGTTGATTTTTGATATTTAATTATAGTAGATAAAAATGGCATCCTTTGTAATCCAGTAGACATTTTCACAAAAAATCTTACGATTTATCTTAAGTTTTTCACTTACGATAATCGTAAGTTAAATCTTAAGTCATTTTCACAAAGCCACCCGTAAGTTAAAATTTTATCTTAAGATAAAAAATTCACTTACGATAAATCTTACGACAAAAACATCCCTAGCAACGTTCATTTGATAGTGATGTGCATGCTCTATATTTGATTCCGGTTTTAAAATCAAGTAATCAAGAGCTTGAAATATCTATTGTACACAATTAAATTCAATACTTGAACAAAAAAAAAATGATTCAAACTGATGTAATGTATATCTTGATTGAAGATAATTATATTTATCTAAAAAATTCAGAAAGAAGGTCTACAATGTTATTAATAAATAAAAAGGTACCATTAGTACATGCTGGCAATGAAATCGAACTCACCAATTGTACAAATTATAAGTTTTCAATAATACTACAGCATAGTTCACATTTAAACTATTCATAACCCTCTCCATCGTGACGTCATCAAGACATGACGTCACAAATGTTTATGTTGAAAAATAATTATACCATAATTTGTGTTATTTAAAGCATACTGTTTGCTTAATATATACTTGTCCTCCAATTTTTTGTTTGTTTTTATTCAGTGTAGGTAAAAGATACATGATATTTTACCCTAAAGAGAGAAAAAATTACACTTACGAACGGGGAACACCTATCGTAAAGTTACGACAGATTTTGCACTTAAGATTTTCTTAAGATTTTTTGTGAAAAGGAGATTTATTGTAAGATTTCTCTTACGATAAAAAATTGTCGTAAGATTTTTTGTGAAAATGTCTGCAGGCTGTTTACCATATACAAGTCAAATATAGTACCAGTATATCATCATAAATATATGGAATACATACCGTTGGTTCAGATGATGAAAAAAGGTAGAGAGATTTATATTACTTAAGGCTTAATATGACTATAGATTGCTTGACTATACTAGTACTACTAGTAGCTTATAGTATAATTATATAGATATTGAATACATAAAGAAATTCTCACAAAAATTAATTATGTATTTGAATCTTTATTTATGTTTTTCCTGTTAAATCTTTTTTTATACAGAAAAATGCATTCAATTGTAATGGGTGGTATTTATTGTATTGTTGTTAATACTAGAATTTTCATACTAGTATTAATAAAATATTTATTTTAAGCTAATTGGCCAAATCTAAAGTGATGTAGATAGAAGAAAATCTCTTAATCACTGAAAACATAAAAAGTACAAGAAACAAGTGCTTAAACTTGTTAAAATATTTAGATTTTTTTCTCTCTCTTAGGAAAGCTGTTCTTATCATCAGATGCTTTGAAACTCTTTAATATCTTGCTCAGTGTTAATAGAAATTGTCTGCGATAATATTTAACATGTTTTTTATACAGGAAAAGAAATCAGAAATCTTGATATCAAAGAATAAAAAAAATCTTTCTACCTTTCAGCACGTACAGGCGGTACAGCTGTATCGAACAATT